GGCCCCCTCCTCCTACAGGGCCTTTGCTTACGAGCGCCAGGCCAGCTCCAGCTCAAGCCGGGCAGGAGGGCTGGACTGGCCAGAGGCCAGTGAGGGGCCCCCCAGTCGAACCATCCGTGCCCCGGCCATGCGGACTCTGCAGAGATTCCAGAGCAACCACCGAAGTCGCGGGGGCCCTGGGGCAGTGCCGGGGGCTGGCCTGGAGCCTGTGGCCCGGGCTCCATCGGTGCGCAGCCTCAGCCTCAGCCTGGCGGACTCGGGCCACCTGCCTGACATGCGTGGGCTGGACAGCTACGTGGGCCATCGCACCCTGCAGAGGCTCAGCAGCGGGTGAGCCGGTGGGGTCTGGGCAGGGAGCGGACTTTGCCACACAGCCTGGCACAAACCCAAGGTCAACTTGATCCTGTCCCTGACTCTGCAGCTTTGATGACATTGACCTGCCCTCCGCGGTCAAGTATCTCATGGCCTCAGACCCCAACCTGCAGGTGCTGGGAGCAGCCTACATCCAGCACAGGTGCTACAGTGACGCTGCAGCTAAGAAGCAGGTGACTATCCCACGGACCACGCTGTCCTGCCCCTTGGTGATGACACTGCTTGTCCTGGGTTCCCCTGGTGACCACCTTCGTCATCTCCCACCTCTCTCTGACCTCTGGCCTTTGACCACCCCTCATTCATCTCCAAGCTGACTGAGCAGACCCCAACCTGTTTAGAAACCTTCTCAGCAAGAGGGGCAGGGAGGTGTCATTTCTGTATATCTGCACACATCTGCATTACCTGCACATACCTGTGTTGCCTGCATACAGCTGCACATACCTGCATCATCTGCATATACCTATCGCCTGAATATGCCCGTGTCATTTACACATCTGCATACACCTGCCTATACTTTCACCTGATATCTCTGAGTCTCCTATATACACCTGTGTCACCTGCATAGACCTGCACTCATTTGCACACATGGATGTCTGCGTGTACCTGCACAGCCTGCACACACCCACACACATCTGCACACGTGTGCCGCAGGCCCGTAGCCTCCAGGCTGTGCCCAGGCTGGTGAAGCTCTTCAATCACGCCAACCAAGAGGTGCAGCGCCACGCCACAGGTGCCATGCGCAACCTCATCTATGACAATGCGGACAACAAGCTAGCCCTGGTGGAGGAGAATGGCATCTTCGAGCTGCTGCGCACACTGAGAGAGCAGGATGATGAGCTCCGCAAGAATGTCACAGGTGTCCCCTGTCCCACTTGCCCTCCCACACTGTCCTCTCCCCAGCATGTCCCCCTCCCCTGCTGACACTGTCCCCTCCTCCATGTTGGACCCCTAGCAACTGTCCCCTCCTCCACTCTGTCCCCCTCCCCCCCGCCCACGACGTCCCCCTCCTTCCCTTCCCCATCTCCACTGTCTCTGGTCTTGCCCCTCCATTCCCATCGCTTGCCTGGTGTTATTGCCATGCTGGGGATTGAACCCAGGGCCTCCCCCATGACAGACAAGCCAGCCACTGAGCCCCCTCCATCCCCAGGCCCTGCTGACCCAAGCTTCATCCTCTCTTGCTCAGACCCAACCCCGTCACTCTGATGGTCATATGAGGGTGTCCCCAGTGGGATTCTTGGTGAAGGCACAAAACACCTGGAGGAGGAGGGAGTGTGCTCTGCCTGCCCTCAGAAGAGCCAGAGGGCAAGCAGGCAACCCACCCTGACCACACCTCTGCACCTACCCAGGCATCCTGTGGAACCTGTCGTCCAGCGACCACCTGAAGGACCGCCTGGCCCGCGACACGCTGGAGCAACTCACAGACCTGGTGCTGAGCCCCTTGTCAGGGGCAGGGGGACCCCCCCTCATCCAGCAGAATGCCTCTGAGGCGGAGATCTTCTACAACGCCACGGGCTTCCTCAGGTGTGTGAGGTGGGGGGTGGGAGAGCCATGGCAGAGCCCGGTGCTGAATGACACGGTGGAGCTGGCCCAGGGGCTGGGAGAAGTGGAAAGGTGTGGTCACTGGTGTGGGTGTCAGCAGCCCTGGCTGCAGGCGCAGGTTTCACTAAGTCAGGTTCCTTGATCCACATTTCTCTTCTTCCCAAACTGCAAGGAGAGGTTGGGGACGGGCATGAGGGACAGGGCCAGCAGTGTCCCTGGGGACTAGGAAGAGGAGGTACCCAAGGGCCAGCCCACTTTGGATGGAGAAGGTATTAGTGCCTCAGGATCTCATACCTAGGGCAGTGGCTGGGGGTTAGGACCCTCGGGGGGGCGGGGGCTCTGATCTGCCTCTGTCCCCAGGAACCTCAGCTCAGCCTCCCAGGCCACTCGCCAGAAGATGCGGGAGTGCCACGGGCTAGTGGACGCGCTGGTCACCTACATCAACCATGCCCTGGACGTAGGAAAGTGCGAGGACAAGGTGAGGGCCGGCCGGGCCCCGGGGGGCCAAGGCTGCAGCCCACTCTGACCCCCTTCTGCCCTCTGCAGAGTGTGGAGAACGCCGTGTGCGTGTTGAGGAACTTGTCCTACCGCCTGTACGATGAGATGCCTCCCTCAGCCCTGCAGCGGCTGGAGGGCCGGGGCCGCAGGGACCTGACAGGGGCACCGCCGGGCGAGGTGGTGGGCTGCTTCACACCACAGAGCCGGCGGCTGCGTGAGGTGGGCACGGCCCTGGGTGGACGGGCCAGGGAGTCCAGCCTGAGGCTCCAGCCCTGGCTGACCACACCCTCTCACCCAGCTGCCTCTTGCGGCCGACGCACTCACATTCGCAGAGGTGTCCAAGGACCCCAAGGGCCTCGAGTGGCTGTGGAGCCCCCAGATCGTGGGCCTCTACAACCGGCTGCTGCAGCGCTGCGAGCTGAACCGGCACACGACTGAGGCAGCCGCAGGGGCTCTGCAGAACATCACCGCCGGTGACCGCAGGGTCAGTGGGCCTGCTGTCCCCCAGGAGTCCACCCTGTTGGGGGAGGGACACTGAGAAGGACCCATGGCCAGGCTCACAGTTGTCCCCAGGGACAGGGCTCTGGGAGGTCTGAGCAGAAGGGCGGCCTGGTCAGGCTGTGGTCGGGGCAGAGGCAGAGGGGGGCGGTAGGAGGTCGAGAAGCAGCCATCTTTGCCCGGACAGGGCCCGCTGGGTCCGCCCTCACGGTCCTTCCCCGTCCTTCCCTGCAGTGGGCGGGTGTGCTGAGCCGCCTGGCCCTGGAGCAGGAGCGCATCCTGAACCCACTGCTAGACCGAGTGCGGACTGCAGACCATCACCAGTTACGCTCACTGACCGGCCTCATTCGAAACCTGTCTCGGAATGCCAGGAACAAGGACGAGATGTGTGAGTGGGGCCACCCCCGCTGGGTTCTGCCACACCCTGCCCAGCCTGCAGTGGAGCACCTCTGTTGGCTTCTCACTGCCCCAGGTGGGCAGGCAGCCAGGATGTGGGCAGCTGGGACAGGACACTCACAGTCTCCTGGCTCCCGCAGCCACCAAGGTGGTAAGCCACCTGATTGAGAAGCTCCCTGGCAGTGTGGGCGAGAAGTGCCCCCCGGCGGAGGTGCTGGTCAACATCATAGCTGTGCTCAATAACCTGGTGGTGGCCAGTCCCATAGCTGCCCGAGACCTGCTCTACTTTGACGGGCTCCGAAAGCTGGTCTTCATCAAGAAGAAGCGAGACAGGTAAGGCCAAGCCAAACCTGCAGCAGCCTGGCCAGGGCACCCAGTCACCCTGCCTCCTGACCCTGACCCTCTGACTACCCTAGCCCTGACAGTGAGAAGTCCTCCAGAGCAGCCTCCAGCCTCTTGGCCAACTTATGGCAGTACAGCAAGCTCCACCGTGACTTCCGGGCGGTACGTCCTACAGAGTGAGACAGGCAGGGTCATGGGGCACAGCCAAGTGCGAGGTATGGAATTTGGGGGGGGCACAGAACCCATGTGGAGTAGGAGATCTGGGCCTAGAGATTAGGGCTCCAGGTCACACCTAGCACACTGTGGGGAAGACAGGGGTCTTGGTGACAGCGGGGCAAACACTTGTGGGCCCTGACCCAAGACCCCTTTCCACTGCAGAAGGGCTATCGGAAGGAGGACTTCCTGGGTCCATAGACGAGGACCTCCTGGAGAAGGTGTGAGCCCAGCTTCCGAGGAACGGGCTCAGCTCCGGCTGCTTGCCATTGGCCTGGAGGAGGAGGCTGCTGGCATCTCTCCACAGAACCCCACATGCACCTTCAAGGAGCCTGGGCCACCACGCGGGGCAGGGCTTGCAGCTGGGGATTTGGCTTCTGCGGGGCAGGGGATCGGGCAGGGATTGAGGTTGTTGTGGTCTAGGGGTGGTGACCTGGTCATAAATGGGGCTGGCCATGGCCTGGCAGTGCCTCGGGATGGCAGCACGGGGAATAAAGGTGGCCATGAACAGAGCCAGCGCCCCATGAGCTTCCATAGGTGGCCGCCAGTCCCAGGACTTGCAGTGTCCCCAAGCACACTCTCCTGCCTCTGAGGACTCTCACCCCTGGGTTCACCCATATATTTTCCAAGGTCAGAAGCCACAGAGGAGTGAACAGCAGAGATGGCCTCTGTGCCACCTGAGGTACCAACGCAGCAGGAGCAAAGGAGGGATGGGGGTGGGGGTGGTACTCATTTGGCAAATATCCAACACCCTCCACCCAACCCAGGCTGGTTCCAGGGGGCTCAGCCCTGCTCACAGGCCTGGAGGTACCCCAACCAGGGGGTCTCATACTGGCCTCTCAAGGCTTGGCCTCCAGGAGGCCTAGGACTCCCACCCATCTGACCCAGAGCCCTCTTGGTCCTTTCAAAGCCCAGAACTTGGGAACTCTAGGGGGAATGTCCCCTCCAGAATCTGCCCAGATCAGGAGGGTTGGGACAGGCACACCTCCAGCCAGGGATCAGGCAGGGAGCTTGGGGCTACTGAGCTCACTCAGGATGGGAAAGAGGGAGCGAATGGGTGGCCAGGCTGGAGACAGGGTTCTGGGGAGGACCAGAGGTAGGGTGGAGGGCTTGAAGAAGACACCAGCCAGAGGAGGCCAACAAGGCCTAGGCAAAAGCCAAAGGGCTTTATTTTCTGGCATTCCTTCCCTGAGAGGCCCAGGGCTACAGGCTGGGGTTGTGGTCCTGCCTGGCAGAAACCTGCCAGCCCCGGCCCCACAGCTGTCCCCTGAGATCCTGTGCTCCGGGCTGGGGCCAGGGCTACACATCATCCTCAGACACCAGGCAGTAGAAGTCTGTGCGAGCACTATAGTTTCGGGAGCCGAGGTCCGAGACATCCACCTCATGGCCGTGGCCCTCTCCCAGTGAGACACCACCTGTACGCAGTGGAGCTGGTGGCTCCCCAAAGACAGGTCCTTGTACACCTGCCAGGGACCACAAGGCATGAGGCTGCGCTGTCTACAGCCTGCCCCACTGCCTGGGGTTCACACCTGCTTACCCCCAGCCAGGGTGGCACCAGAGGCCCAGGGAGGCCTTGGCCCACAGCAATTCCGGGAGAGGCAGTGAGAAACTTCCGGGGCTGGGGTGGGGGAATCACCCCCTCCAGGGGCTGCAGGGGCTTTCCATGTGGGGAAGTCCTCCACCCCTTCACCCCAGGCTGGGTGCCTCAGGTCAGGGATGGGGACGGATGGGCATACCCAGGTCTCCCTCAGGGTCAGGGTCCAGCTCAGGCTCCAGGGCCCCGCCCTCCACAGGGCCTCGCACGATCAGCATGGGGTCCTTGTCCTCCTGTAGCCGGGTCTGAGGGTCTCCCTCCACTGGCCTGTACTGCACCTTCCGCGGCAGCGCCAGCTGTAGCTCTTTCCAAAAATCGGAGGAAGGTGTCTGGGGGCCAAGTGGGGGGTGTCAGCGTGAATACGTGCAGGCAGATCCGAAGCCCTGGCCACCCGGGTCCCAAAGAGCAAGGCCAGTGTGACCCAGAGGTCGCCAGGTCTGGCAGTGTACTCTCAAAACCCCACCCTGCGCGTCCCACGCCTCCTGCCCACCAGCGCGCACCACAGAGCCGGGCCTCCAGAGCAGCAGGGTCACCAGGTGGCGGTGCTGGCGCAGCAGGTGCAGCGCGGGGTGCGTGGGGTCGCGCCTCTGGCCCTCGAAGGTGATGAAGATGGGCCTGCGCGTGAGCTCCAGCAGTCGGCACAGGCCCTCCCTGCGGGAGTGGGACCGTCAGGCGCGGCGCGGCGCGGCGCGGCCCCCCCCTCCCGCGCGGGACGCACCGGAAGCTGTGGCTGCACCAGGCCCGGCCCAGGAAGGCGTCCGAGAGAACCACGACGAGGCGGCGGCAGCGGCTCAGGTTCACCAGGAGGTCCGCGGAGGGCTCTGCGAACCGGCGGGGGAGGGAGCGCGAGTGAGGGGAGGGGCCTCGTGACCGGGGGCGGGGCCAGAGGCGGGGGCGGGGCTCTGTGGAGACGGGGCGGGGCCTGCGGAGGGGGCGGGGCGCTACCCGCGTGAGGCAGGAGGTCGCGGTCGTCCAGGAAGAGCTTGTAGCCGCGACGACGCTCCAGCTGCGGCTTCAGGATGAAGTTCACAAACTTGCGGTCCTCGGGACAGTCGCTGTAGGAGACGTAGGCGTCGTAGAGCTTCCCGTCTGTGGACAGTGGCCAGTCAGCCGCAGCCACTTCCAAGACCTTGTGTCGCCTTCTCCCCAGGCCTCGGAGTCCCCAGGCCACGCACCTCTCCCAACTTATACACCAGGTCCTGGACTTTTTCCCCTTCTCTCGACCCAAGCACTGTGTCTGCTCTCCTGGGCCACACGGAGTCCCACACCCCTTCCTGGCTGGCATACCCCAGACCCTCAGGGACTTCCTGCCCCTACCTGCAAGGAAGAACTCCCTCTACCCAGTGCCGAGCCTGGTCCTGCCTCTTCGGGACTGACGGGGACACTGCTTCCTTCCTTGTCCCAGCGGAACCCATGGGCACCCTTCACCTCCACCTCCCTGGACTCACCGTTCACCTCCACCTCCCCGTAAGTGTCTTGGTACCAAAGTAGCACATGGAGGCGACACTTAACGTAGAGCAGCACAGCCAACAGCAGAGCCAGCAGGACTAGGAGGGAGGCCAGTACCGCAGCTACGTGGCCTGCGGGGCCTGTAGACAGGGTGGACCTGAATGGCTGCCCCTCCAAATCAAGGTCCCTAGGTACCCCCTAACTTATGTCCCCAGAGGCCCTCCTCACCAACTCTCTGGAGAACGAAGGAAGAGGAGCTGACATTCTGGACAGAGCAGGTGTAGGCCCCATAGTCCTCATGGCTGGTCAAGTTGAGCCCCAGGATACTGGATACGAGCATCTTTGAGAAGTTGGCCTTGACCCTGGGAAAACCAAGCTAAACTCTTGGGGCCTGAAAGCATCACTGGATGTCCCAGGGGTCCTTCTGTCTGGGACTCATCCAGAAAGCTGCAGATTTGGGCTTCCTGGGTAGTTCTTGAGCCATAAACTAAGAGAAATGGCCAGAACCTAGAAGTGTCTGTTCTAAGACAGTTACCTTAAAACTGAGTCTGGATCCAGGGGGCTCCTCTGAGCTCAGATTTGACTGGAGGGTCAATACCTCGCTCAAGTCCTAGGAATCTGATGGCACACACAGCCCTGGGCAGTCTATAAGATGAATGTCTACAGGGTCATGAAAATGCCAGGATCTGTCCCTGTGGTCACTGACCTTCATCTGTATCCACAGGGGCACTCTGCCTATGTCAGACTGGCCAGTCAGTATCCAGCCCATATCCAGGTGGTTACAGACAAGGGTGTGTTGACCCTGGACACCCCAGTCTCTTACCAGAAGTCCTCATGGAGGACGTAGTCACTTCCATTGCCCAGTGGAAGCCCATCTTTCAGCCACTGGACTGAAGGCTGTGGGCAAGAAGGCCCAGGGACCACCCAAGCTGTGCAGTTCAGTGTGACTGTACTACCCAGGGAAGGCCCCAGGAGCTGGTCTTCAGAGGGGGAGAGGAAGTCAGGGGCCCTGTCACAGACTCCTGTAGAGAGACGACACAGTGGGTCAGTTCATCCACAGGTGGTCTGTGGTCTAGGAAGACAAGGCAGCAGATGAGGGGTGGGCTCTGTGTTCCTGCTACAATCATCCATGAATCCCATGGGGACAGGACCTCGCATTTGACACTCTTCCCCCCACAGTGGCCAGTCTGTGTTCTGCCTGTCCTAGATGTGACCACCCTGTGCTTGGAGGGGACATTAGAAGGGAGGAAAGTGACACAGGATCTATCTGGCTGCTAGTCCATACAGGACATGAGTCCAGCCCCACTTCCCATCCTAGAAGAGGGTCACTGCACTCCTCACCTGGCCTGCCCCTGCTGGAGGAGACAGGAAGTGTGGACTGGAAAGGGCTGGGAACCCGCCTGCCTCCCTAAAGGCCTTGACCCTCTGGTCTTTGATTCAGGGTAATGAGCCCTGGCAGGAGGTCAGAGGAGTAGACTCCATCAGCTCGGTAGTGTCGTCTCCCACCAGTCCTCATCTACCACCCCACACTGGATATTCCTGGCCTTTACAGGAATATCCATGCGTTTCCCAGTGGAATTCCATCTCTTAGCCCCCAGGCACCTGGTCTGTGGCCTGTGGACAGTGAGGACTTCAGGCTCAACCTCACTGCCTGTCCTGGGTTCAGTGGCAAGGGCTGGGGGATGGAAGAGCAGAGGCCTTTGCTCCCCGGGTGTGCATCCCAGTAGAGAGCGAAGGGCATGGCCTGGAGCCAGCCTGAGGACCGGAGGCGGGAGTCAAGACTCAATGCCTGTCCCTCTCTCACCCACCTACCTGCCATGGCTCTGGCCTGGGCCTCGTCAGGGCAGGGTGGGCACTGGTGTGACCCCTGGCTCCACAGGGGTCCTTAACCAAGCAGACTGGTCCACTGATGGCTAAGCAGGACCCCTCTCTGTTCTTGTGACCAGTTGGAGAGAGTTCCTGGACAGGTCAGAAGCTGCTGCCATCCCCAGGGAACAAATTAAACAGGAATGAGATGAGTTAACCAGTAACTGTTAGCCACAGGCTCACTGGCCCTGTACCAGGCAGGTGCCTGGCCACCAGGGTCAGCCTCATAGGTGCCAGGGGATCTCCCAGACAGCAGCATGGCCAGAGTAGGCACTGCTTCACAGGACACAGCGGGCAGGGAGGGGACACATCACACCTGTGGAGGCTCAGCAGGATCAAACTTGCATAGAGATATTGAGGGGCCTCCTGGGCACCCCTTCTCCTAGCTCCCAGCATGATCTCCCATACAGAGTCCTGGACTGTTCACAGTCCACAGCAGCCCACACACCTCATGACTCAAAGGCTCTGCAGACCGGCCATGGTGGCACACACCTGTAATCCCAGCTCGGTAGTGTAGTCTCCCACCAGTCCTCATCTACCACCCCACACTGGACATTCCTGGGCTTTATAGGCCTCCATGTACCTGGCTGAGGCAGGAGGACTGCAAAAAAACAGCCTCGACAAAAGTAAGGCACTAAGCAAAATAAATAAAATACAAAAAAAGGGCTGGGGTTGTGGCTCAGTGATTGAGTGCCCCTGAGTTCAATCCTCCGTACCAAAATAAAGGCTCTGCAGCATGAGCACATTCCTGTCAGTCTGACCAGGGGTCTTTCCATAAGAACTTGGGAGTGGAGGTCAGTCCTAGGGAAGTCCTTGAAGCAAAAGAACTGCCCACTGAGGGTCTGTGGAAGACATACCCTCTCATGCAACAGACTCGTCAGGTTGTGCCCTGATGTCAGAGGTTGTGCCTTCAGCCCAGCAGGTCCCAGGACATCTCCTTTAGTGGCCTCTAGACCTCCCCAAGCTCAGAGGACCTTGAATCCCTGCAAAGGCAGCCTCAGACCCTCCTAGAAGTCAAGGCCAAACCACCAGGATATGACACAGCAAGGCAGCAGGTGGCCTCCCCACACCCCTTCCCCAGCACCCCCACACCTCTCTGGCCCCCACACACCTACACTGAGCTCACCTTGGCTGGCAGGCACACAGGCATCCTCTACACAGTATGCTTCCTACCACACACCCCTCCCACTATTACACAGGGCTTAGGTGCACGCACCTCCCACACCTCCAGGGCACACGCTTGTGACACTCCCACGAACTCAGGACCAAGAGCACCCCACAGCACACATGGCACCTCCTGCTGCGCCCACCCTCCAACACACACACACACACACACACACACACACGTACATGCCTCCCTCAGCCAGGCCCAGCTCCAACAATAGGCCCTAAAGCCACAGGCTCACTTAGAGCAGCAGTGAGGGCGGTCACCTGGTTCCAGCTCTTTCCTCCCAGGGGTAGCTGGTCACTGAGGTCATTGCTGTGCTCTAGGAGCACACTCCACCTCAGCCAAGTCCCGGGGAGCGGCCACAGTACTGCAGATGCATCACCAAGCTCAGTGAGGACCTGGCTTTTGTTGATGTATATTTTAATCAGAACTTTCCTAGTAGTTTCCTGGCCTTTCAGTCACATCCTCTCCAGACCCTAAACCCCACCCAGGCACCCACCCCTTCCCGGGGGCGGGCAATTGGTGGCTCTTGCCCCGCCTGCCTCCTTCTTCCTGTAACTCTGAGTCAGAGGGCCCCTTCCTTTGGGGCCTGTCCCAGCCCCCCAGGCACTGCACAGAGGCCCTAGGCAGCGTGTATGTGGGGTGCTCACAGGAGCAGAGGTTCGGGATCTTGACAGGGAGATTCCTATCCAGAATCACAGGAGGGACAGTGGGGCAGGAGGGCCACATTCAGGAGCAGAGGAGTTGTCTCTTGCTCCCTGCAAAAGTGAGCATACCTAGGCACCTGTGGCCTCCAATGTGCCTGGGTGAGGGATCCTTCAGAAACTCTGGGCCAATAATGAGGCCTAGAATAGGCTCTCTGATCCTCTCCCTGACCACCTCCTAGGCATAGCAGAGGGTCATGGTGTCTTCAGGACCTTAGCTGCAGGCCGGGTCAAGGAGCACTCCCAGTTTTCCGGGTAAGGAGGCAGAAACAGGAGGCCACAGGCTCTGAGTGTAGGTGGAGGCCTCTGCTGTCTCCTGCTGCACCAGTGACTCTCTCAAACAATCCTGGGCTTTGGGGCCAGTGACAGGTAGTTGGCACTGCCATGGACTAGGAAGGGGTCTCCTCCAACACCTGGCCCTGCCATCACCTGCAGAGGGGCAGGGCCTCATCCTGGAGGACTCCCTTTCAGTCCCCAACTGGGCCCAGCAGGGCAGTGTCCTCATTACAGCGGCAGGTTTTCTTATACCCAGGCCTACCCAAACCCAGATGGCCTGGTACACAAGACCCTCAGGACTCAGGTGACAGCACATCTTAGGCTCTGGGATGGAAGAGCTGGAGGGAACATATGTGCCCTTCCAGCCTTGATTTCCTCAGTGCCTTTTTTTTTTATACCAAGGATAAAAAAATCCAGGAAACTTAACCACTGAGCCACATCCCGTCCTTTTTATTTTCCATTTTGAAACAGGTTCTCACTAAGTTGCTTAGAGTCTCTCTCTCTAAGTTTCTGAGGCTGGCTTTGAAGTTGCAATCTTCCTGCCTCAGACTCCCCAGCCACTGGGATCACAGGAGAGCTATGGGATCACAGGCGTGCGCCACCACACCCAGCTCCTCAGTGCTTCTGGCTTAGTATTTGCAGGTGCCTGATGGGCCATGATAACTGGTTGACTCTTCATGGAGGCAGTGTTGTGCTCCTCACATTGCAAGTCAGGACCCAGGCACAAGGACATTGAGAAGCACTCTGGCCAGAAGCAAAGAGGGCGGCCCTCCAGCACTGAAGCCTATGCTCCAGCCAGCCTCACTACCTCTAGAAGCCCTTGTCAAACTTTCTGAGACTCTGTGTGTGCATCTCGGTGTGTCCCTATCTCTCAGAGCCACCTGCTACCTTTGTGAATGGATGCCCCTTTCCTTCCTCCCTCTGCTATGGTCCACTATGCCTCCACCACGCCCCCACCACGCACCTCCAAGTCAACCATATCTCGTGCTCACCCCTACAGCCTTTCCGAGGTGCTCCAGGTCCCCAGAATCTAAATCCAAGCCTAGCCCTTCACACGGCAGTGCGCGGAAAGTGCCCGCGCCTCGGGTGCTCGGGGCTCTATCCTTGAGCTCTGCCGGCTCTGCTTCTTGGCGTGAGCGCTGTGCGCCCTGGGCTGCAGCTCCCAGCCTGAGATGGCCTGGCCCCGGGGGCCAGGGACCGCTGTCCTGCCCGCCCCGTCTGGCTGGCTGCTCAGCACCCCAGTCTACGAGCGTCTCCTGCTCATCTCCCACGCGCGGCCCCTCTGCTACTCTGGCGTACAGAGATCCCAGGCGTCTTTCCAGAAGGAAGGAACCCGTGTCTAGGCAGGTAGAGGAACTCGGGTAAAAGGACACTCAGCTCTCCCAGACCACGCCTCAATGTTGCGCGCTCGGCCTTCCGGAGAGGGGCACGGCCTTTGTACCCGCGGCCCTCCAAGGTGCAGTTAGCAGGTGGTTCAGGGACGCGCTGAGGGCGGGAGCGTGCAGACGGCGAGTCCGGGAGCGCCCCGAGGGCCGCAGAGCGCAGGTGGCGGAAACTCCGCCAGGGATTCCGCCAGGGACCCCGCGAACCCCGGCCCCAGCCAGTTTACCCGTCCACCCCGGGGCCTTAGGAAATCTCAGGTTGGGGATCCGGGGTCCTCGGCTCCTGGCCGCACTCCACTCTCTGGCACCGAGGGTCCTGAGGAAGCCACTGACCACGTCGGGCAGAGCGGAAAAGAGCAGCCCGCCACCCGCAAGGCCTCGAGGGGCCGGGGCGCGGGCGCGCTCTGGCTTCCGGGCGACGCGGGAAGCCTGCCTGGCCCCCAGCCACTTCCTGCGGGGCCGCGCCCGCCACCGCCCGAGCTTCTTCCGAGCCAGGAGCGCCCTGAGCCCCCAACTCCAGGCCTGGAACGACTCAAGAGGACGGCGACTTCCACTCACCTCCGCGGGTCTGAGTCGTGCCACTCACCTGCTGCCAGACCTGGGGCTCCCGCGGGGGCGGGGCAGCTCACCTGGCCCAGGTGCTCAGCAGCGACAGCCCTGGCGGTGGCGGCAGGTGCAGCCCCGCCCCGCGGCCAGGAGAGGGCGGACCCAAGTGTCCGGCTTTACCCCTGAGGCAGACTGTCCTGGGCTCAGCCAGGAGCCCAGAGCCGCGCGGCCCAGGCACAGAAACAGGAGCCAAACCGGCTCCACCCAGCCGCAGAGAAGCTCAGAGCCCCAGGGAATCCTCAGAGATTCTGATGTCCCAGGGTGACTTTGTGGCCTTTCCCTACTCCTCCCACACTTACCTTTCCTCCAGGAAGCCGGTCTTGACCCTCATCCCACCTGTAATTGGCCCTGATGTCTTTTTTTATAATATTTATTTTTTAGTTGGAGGTGGACACATCTTTATTTTTATGTGGTGCAGAGGATGGAACCCAGTGCCTCATGCTGCTAGGCCGAGCTCCAAACCTGCACTCGGTCACATTTTCAAACCAGAGGAAGGCCAGACCACCTGAGGCTGCTGAACACCTGATCTTCCACACTCTGGGCTTCTGAATTCCATATAGCCCAGGGCAGACATAACCCACCAGAAACCTGAAATCAACACTGTCATGTTTAATTTCAATCAGCAACTCATAAATGAACACTGTTATGTTTAATTTTATTATAGAAAGTTCTACTCGCTGAGGGGAACCAGCCCATCCAGTGGGGAGCCAGAACAGTGGACTTGGGGCTCCCCATCCTCCAGAAGGGGGTAAAGCAGGATCTGGGGCCCAGATATCAGAGGGAAGCCCAGGAAACTTGGGCCAATTTTCATGCATTGGAACTGCATATGAAATCCTCCCAGTTCTGTGGGTGCCAGGACCACCCAGGATTCAGGTCACAGAGATGGGGCAGGCCCCACAGACACACGTGTATGGTTCAGAGATGACCCAAACACACATGGAACGCCTGTGACCTCCACATACCCAAGGGCCTCCCGGGACCCTACATGTACATGCGGCTTCCTCGGACCCTCATATAGCCACGTATACATCATGAACATGGACCCCTAAGACCACCCACCTATCACAGATCTCCCGGGACTCCACGTCTACACAGCTTCTTACAGCCCCACACACACTCGCACACACACAGCCACGGGCAGGGCCAGGACGTGGAGACAGTGACAGCTGCAGGATCAGGTCTCTGGCACCAGCACCTCTCCACCTGCGCCAGGTCGCCTACACATCTGTGCTCTTGGAGCTGGAGCTGGAGGTAGGGTGGGGTTGGTGGGGACCAGAGGCCAGAGGCTCTGCCCAGGTCTGGACCTGCCCCCACCCAGCCAGCTTCCGCCTGCCTACCCCATCTTATCCCGCAATATCCGATACTTCTCCTCCAGAACCTTGTTCTTCACCGACTGGGGAACATCAGGCACGTACCACGCGGCAATAAGCTTGATGCACAAGGCCACATGCTGGGGGCAGGGATAGGAGCACATAGAGCCAGCGGGGTCACGGGCTACACAGGGTCTAGAGGGTTGGGGGTTGGGAAGAGGGCCTGCGCCCAGGTCTCCCTACCTCAAAGAGGATGACGAAGGCGAGGCGGATGGCCAGGAGGAACCAGAACTGCTCTGAGAAGTTGTAGTCCTGGGAATTGCGGTAATCCCGGTACCTGGGGGAGGGAGGCGTCTGCAGTCAGGAGTCACGAGTTCAGAGGGAATTCGTGGGTGGTGGGGAGCTCCAAACCTGCACTCGGTCACATTTTCAAAGCCCTCTGTCTCAACAGGGTCCTGGAAGTCCTTGGTGTAGAAGACGGACAGGCTGTGGTTAACGTAACCCTTGAGGCAGCTGGGGAGGAGAGGAGAGAAACATGGGGCCAGGGTGGAGCCAGGGTGGCCTCTCATTCCCCAGGGTTGCTCCCAGGAGCTGCCCTGTATCTGGTGGGGGCACACCACCAGCCTCTTCCACTTCCCTGTGTGTGTGTGGGGGGGGGCACTGGTCCAGTTCATGGCTGTGCCTGGGAGTCTGGGGATGGTGAGGGGCCTCAGGAATGCGACCAGCTGCCTTCTCTGCCAGGGGCTGGACACAGCATTCCAGAGGCTGTCCCAGGAGACCCAGTCTTGAGGGTCAGGGGAACTGGAGGTGGCTGAGCTCTGCCCTCCTGTGCTGGAAGCAGGACACAGGAGGCCCACCTTTGGGAGGGGGTCATTCTGAGAGTGCCTGCTCAGAAAACGTCTGGGCCCAGACCAACGCCCTGTCAGGTCCAGTCAGTTATTTCTGGGCTCCAGCCAGGGTTGGTAGGCTGCTGTGAAAAGGCAGTACGTATCCCCCCTGTCTCAGCCTCACCAAAGCCCTAGGCCACATTGACAGCATCCAGCCATTCCCAGGAGAGAGGGCCCAGGCTCCCCTGGGGCTTAGCAGTAACAGGGCCATGATCTCAGGGGTGTCTAGATGGTTTGAGGCCTTACTCTTCTGCAGACTGATTGCCCTGTCGACAGGGGCCATAGCGGTACTTGTAGACGACTCGGGGGATGAACTCAGAGGTGAAGGCAATGACCATCCCATTGGCAATGACCGCCAGAACACCGATGGTCTCCAGCACCTGCAGCCAGGTCCCTGAGCCAGAGCAAGAGGGTGAGGGGGTCTGGCTCCTAAGCCCCATGCTTTTGGCAGCCCCCCCACCCAAGGCTGGGGGCCTGAGTGCCACGGGGCCTTGTTACGGCTCTGCCCAGGGTACCCCACTGCAGTCATAGGGGCCAAGACGTTCCCTAGGAAACCCCAGCTCAGAGTGCAGCCTTGCTCTACTTCCTACACCCCACCTGACAGATGGGAGGAACACCAGTGTCCCTCAGCCACCCCCAGACTGCTCCAGCCCTGGGTCCATCCCCTCCTGGGCAGGACCCCCACCCCTGAGCCTCTCCCCACTTCCAGTCCCCCAGCCCAGCTGACACTGTCCATCTCAGTGTGGCCATGCTGGATGACTAACCCCTCTCCCTCCCACGCCCTCAGAAGCAGCTCTTCTGCCTGGACTCCCCAGCAGGCTGCAAGCCTGCAGCCAGATGCCGGGCTCCAGGGAAGGGCTGCAAGGCGCACCCTCCCTGCCTTTTCCTGGGCCCACCGGGGTCAACCCTTCCTTGGCAGATCCCTAAGAAGGGCTGGGGGCCACTGTGAGATTGTTTCAAGGTGGCCTGGTGTGGGTCAACAGAGAGCCCACGAAGCTGCCCACTGCATCACGTACTGACCGATGTCCTTGGCTTTGCGTGGCACCAGGCGCCGCTGCAGCCAGACCATCTTGATGGCATCCAGGCGGATCTCCACGAGGTTGCTGAAGAGTGCCAGCAGTGGAGCCAGGGGGAAGGCGGCCACAAAGATGGTGGTGAAGCCGTACTGGATCACTGCAGGGCACAGGGGTCACCTTCCTGGCTGGCAGCACCTGCCCGCCCCACCCGCCGCCACATACTCATCTCCATGAACTCGTCAAACAGGCTAAAGGTGGTGACAGGGTTCAGTAGGTAGTTGCGCTGCCAGTCCTGGAGCTGGGGATCACAGGGCTGATGGCTGCGTGTGCAGGCTGTCATCAAACGGAACTTGTGGGCCAGCCACCTGTGAGCGGGGAGAGTGTTGGGGTAGATGGGTAGCCCTGGGGGCCTAGAGCATCAGGGACGGGTGCTCCAGGAGGCAGGGTGGGCTGGTCCTCACGGGTGCAGGTACTCCATGCAGTTGCTCAGGGTTTGCTTCAGACCCATGATGATAGCCATCTGCACAAAGAGGTCCATCATGCAGCCGCTGAGATGGCACTGTGGGGCAGGCAGCAGGTCAGGGAGGGCCGAGTACAGGGGAGGAAGGGCATAGGGACAGAGTGACAGGGCTCAGGGTAGACAGACCTCCTCCAGCTTCCACAGACCAGCCAGGCGCGTGGACTTCCCAGGGTGACCATTGATCCTAGGGAGAAGAGTGATCCTCGGTGGGCATGGGGACAACACCCTGCCTCTGACAGGGTGGGCCAGGGTCACCATAGGTGTGGAGAGACAGGAGAGAAGCGGGCCCAGCAGTGATGGACACCCAGGCCTGCAGGCCTGCCCAGCTTCCACAGACCAGGACATGCCTTCCAGGCGAGGTCTGCTGGGCCTGGCCTCAGTTTCTCCCCGTGCAAACCGCATGCTGTGTCATGTGGTTCAAAATCATCTGCGTTTCCTCAACACTACAGCAAATGCAAGCTATCTTAAACCAAAGGGGCTCAGGGCTGATGCTGAACTTGGGAAGGATCCCCATGATAGTTCACAGGAGCGATGACTTGAGACCATGCTGGAGCTACTTACAAATGGACAAGAAAACACAAAGTGTAAATAGTATAAATGTGCAAAGAAAAAAAATCACTGCTTTAGGAAATATGATCATATGCCTGGAAAATCAAAATAAACCACTGACAGACTAAGGGTCAAATCAACTGACAGTCACCCAGAAAGAAGACACACGGTGTCAGGCTGCCTTGGCTCTGCTCTACGCAGCACAAGCCTGGGCAATGGGGCTGGAGGAAAGCTCCGTTACCCACAAGAAATCTGTGGACCTACATGAAGAGGGTAGAGACTGTCCTAGGGAACACAAAGGAACGCAGAGGAGCCTTGTTCTTCAAAGACAGCCTGTGGCTGTGCTACCCAACCTGTTGTGGCAGATGGCCTTGCAGGAGATTCTCCTGGGTTAGCTGCTGTGACTACAGGGGCCTCTGAGCAGAGAGCACTGACACCGTAAGACCAGGGTCTCGGGCTGGGATTGTGGCTCAGTGGTAGAGCGCTCGCCTAGCACAGGCGGGACCCGGGTTCGATCCTCAGCACCACATGAAAATAAAGGCATTGTGTTGTGTCCATCTACACCTAAAAATATATATATATATATTAAAAAAAAAAAAAGACCAGGGTCTCAGGGTGCCCTGGGCATCCGACGAGCCACACCTGAAGCACTGGCTCAGACGTGCAGGTGTGGACGGCAGAGCTGCTCGTGGAGCCCACCGTCTGCCTGGAAAACCAGCCCAGTCCGTGTTCCTCAGCAGGAGTTCAGGCTCAAGAGGGTCACAGACGGGAAATGGATCATTGGGAAGCAAGAGATCGAAGTCGATGAAGATTTAAGGGGGAAAGAAACCAATTGAGGGGCTGGGGATGTGGCTCAAGCGGTAGCGCGCTCCCCTGGCATGCCTGCGGCCCGGGTTCGATCCTCAGCACACATACAAACAAAGATGTTGTGTCTGCCGAAAACTGAAAAAAAAGAAAAAAGAAAAAAAAAAAGAAACCAATTGACACCTTCAAGAAAGTACTGCCTAGGGCTGAGGTGCGGCACCACAAAGGAGAGAAAACAAAAAAGAACTCTCGGGAATGATTGTTAAAGTTAAAAAAAAAAAAAATAGAGGGTCAAAAAGACAGAGGGAGGAAGTCTCCCAGGCAGGACGGGCCAGGTGGAGGCCGGGGCCCCTGTGGGTCACCCAGGTGTGCCATGAATCGGCAGTGAGCGCACACCTCACAAGAGCTGAGCAAGCACAACCCAGATGGGAGCTGCTTCCCCCTGCGGACAGCGGACAGACGCAGACAGAAGAGTTTACAAAAAGAAAGGCTCATGTGTAAACCAGGGGCCAGGAGCCGCCCAGGCCTGTGTCTGAAGCTCGGCCTGAGTGCAGAACCTCAGTAGCGGGCAGGAAGTGGGTCACTCTCTGGGTCTCATGAGGAGGAGCGGCAGGGAGCACACCTGCCCAGGATGAAGGCGATGTAGACGAGGGAGGAAAAGTGGGCGAAGAACTGCAGGATGAAGAACCTGATGGTGAACTTTCTCTCCAGCTCCAAGAAGGTCCGGGGCTGCTCTGCAACAAGAGCAGGCCTGGGGTCCTGCCGAGCACTGGCTCCCGCCCACGCCCTCCTCCAACCCGAGGGCAGGGCCTCCACTCACCAAACTCACAGAGCTTCAGGGCCACACGCTTGTTGACCTGGAGGAGGAGGGTGCCTGAGGGCCTGCCTGTGGCCGCCCACCACCACCACCCCCTCCCTGCCCGTCCCCGACCTTGGTCATGATGACGATGATCAGGTAGTGCACCAGGGCCCCTGTCACCACCACAGCCGTGGTCACCTGGTTCTCCAAGAAGGGCAGTGTGCCGAGGAGGGCAGCGGCCAGCACACGGTAGACCACCAGCAAATGGGCCATGCCAATCATGAGGCAGATCTGCAGAGGCACCAGGGTGGGTGGGCAGGCACTCAGAGGGGCCAGGTCTCCACCCACGGGGCTCCCGGGAGTACCATCAGCACAGACAGGACCAGGATCACGGTGCTGCGCCGGTACGAGTGCTGGTGCGGCCGGAGCTGGTAGTGGGGGCAGTTGATGAGCTGGAGCGCCATCTCCTCCTGCAGAGGACCCCAGATCCACGCCTCAGACACAGGACATGGCCCAGACACAAGGCACAGATACGGGACACACTTCAGACAGGGGACCTCAGACAGGGGACATGCTCCAGATGGGACCCGCCTCAGACAGGGAACACATCTCAGACATGGGACACGCCTCAGATATGGCACATGCCTCAGACATGGACATTCCCGCAGATATGGGAACACCCCAGAGAGAGGACACACCTCAGTCAGGGAACATGCTTCAGACAGGGGACATGCCCCAGGCATTGGTCATCTCCTGAAGAGGACCCCAGAAATACACAGCCCAATGGGACATGCCCCAGCCAGAGCACACACCTTAGCGAGGGAACGGGCTTCAGACACGGGACATGCCCCAGGCATTGGTCATTTCCTGAAGAGGACCCCAGATGCACAGCCCAATGGGACATGCCTCAGCCAGAGCACACACCTTAGCGAGGGAACGGGCTTCAGACACGGGACATGCCCCAGACTGTTGGGAGCTGCCCTGGAGGCAGACCTTCAAGTCCTGATGTCCTGGGGCACTGACCCCAGCTGGGACAGCAAGGCAGGGCTCCAGGTGTAGGGTCACCACCGGGGTTGAGCTACACTCACTGTGAGGATGGCCTGAGGCCTGAGCCAAAGCAACTCCATTTTAAAAACTCTAGTTCAATACCTTCAGTCTCACCAGGCACACCAGGCACACCTCCAGTGTGGCCTCAGGCACAAACAAGTCACTTCCCCCTCCCTATAAACACTGAGTGAAGCATCTGGCAGGCTGATCTCGCCTGTAGGAGGGACAGGCGGAGAGATCAGGGTGGGGACCACCAGACCAGATGCTTTGACCCCAGGGTCAATGAGGTCACTGAGAGATCCGACACGGATGCCCACAGCCGAGAGCCTGGTGAGGACCTGGACGACATCCCTTCACGGTCATCGTTTGCTGATCCTCTGCGTGGTCCTCACTCAAACTCTATGCCACATCTTGACCCTGGTCTCCTTGGCCAGCCATCAGCTCCATCCCAGGAGAAGCCTGCCTTGGTCCCTGACCCGATCTCCACAGGATCTGTGGACTTAGAGCCCAAGGCTTGAGACTCTAGACCTGGCACTTGAACGTAGCGTGCAGAGGGAATGTCTGTCATGAGCCTGTCACGACTAAGTGTGTTTGCAATGCTGAGAATCAATTAATCTAGAATTGTTAGCTGTGAATTAATTGATTATGTCTAATGCAATGCCCAGCACTAAGAATTGTCATTCTCTTGATTAAGAACCTATAGAGTGGCCTGGGATTGTGGCTCAGCGGTAGAGCGCTCGCCTAGCAAGGGTGGGACCCGGGTTCGATCCTCAGCACCACATAAAAATAAAGGCATTGTGTTGTGTCCATCTACAAAAATAAATAATAAATAAAAAACTATAGAGTGAAATTGCATTGAGTGATTTGAGTGAATAAAGCATTGAAAAGGGCAGAAGTGCATGGACATTCTTTATTTCTCCCCCTTGAGTGCATTAGTCGCACCTCTGCCCATCACCACACTCACCTGTTCCTTTGTAATCCTACCCCTTTGCCCTGTTGGGGACAGAATGTTCCAGGGAAACTCCCTTTGTGTGTCCCCTTCTCTGGCTCTGCCTTTGATGCCCACTCAGCACAGGAGATGGGTGTGGCCTTCCTAGCTGTCAGTCAACCTGCTGCCAGCAGACATCAGGAAGCTAGACTCCACCCCCGAAAGCGGACCCTTTGCCTCATTTGAATGGCTTCTCCCCAGTGACAGGTTCAGCACAGGCTCCTCGCTCTCTCTTTCCATGGACCCCTAGGGTCAGAAGATCTATCACCAGACCCAAAGAAAAGGTGTCTCTCTGTCTCTGTGTGATGATTTCATGCAGCCCAGTTCCCCTGGATGACCGTGTGGATTCATGGGACGCGACACCAGGCACTCATCATCTCCTCCTGAGGAGGACCCCAGATACACACCTCAATGGGACACACCTCAGACATGGGGAC